CCATATTTTCTTTCTGTTAATACATATGTGCACTATTTGTAAGCAGCCCAGCTGCAATTGCTTTGGCAATACAAATATATAGTGTTTGTCATGCCAATAAAGCACTCTTAAATTGAATTGAATTGAATTGAGAGAGCGAGAGAGAGATCTCAAATTAAAGAAGGCATGTGGACTAGACAACATCAGCAATGAAATGCTCAAACTCAGCAGCCCTTACATGATTCAAGCTCTGGCAAAATGATTCAATCTGATCTTATCCTCTGGTGACTTCCCTGAGGCCTGGTCTGAAGGACTGCTCACACCTGTATATAAAAAAGGAGATACATTCAATCCCAGTAATTACCGTGGCATTAGTGTGGGCAGTAACCTAGCAAAGCTTTTCTGCAATATAATAAACAGCCGCATAGTGACATTCCTCACAAGACACAACACCCAAAATAAATCACAAATTGGCTTTTTACCAAAACAACATACATCCGACCACATCTATTTTCTCCACACTCTAATCAACAAAAGTCTAAAGGGCAAACAAAGAAAAATATTGACATGTTTTATTGATATAAAAAAGCTTTCGACTCTATTTGGCATGAAGGTTTACTACACTCTTAAAAATAAAGGTGCTTCACGATGCCATAGAAGAACCTTTTTGTCTAAATGGTTCCATAAAGAACCTTTAACATCTGAAGAACCTTTCTGTTTCACAAAAGGTTCTTTGTGGCGAAAGAAGGTTCTTCAGATTACAAAAAGGTAAGAAAGAGATGGTTCTTTAAAGAACCTTTGACTGAACGGTTCTTTGTGGAACCAAAAATGAAGCACCTTTTGAAGCACCTTTATTTTTAAGAGTGTATGCAAATTATTACAAATTGGCATTGGTGGAAAAACATTCGATGTTATACAATCCATGTCCAAAAACAGTAGATGTGCGGTCAAACTGGGGGATCTCAGAACAGCGTTCTTCCAGCAGGGCCGTGGAGTGAGGCAAGGATGCAGTCTGAGCCCAACACTGTTTAACATCTACATCAACGAGCTGGCAGAAGCTCTGGACCGCTCCTGCAGGCCTCTGAAGTCAAATGTCTGCTGAATGCGGACGACCTGCTTCTGCTGGAACAGTACTGTGAGGAATGGGCACTGACGGTAAACCTTGACAAAACCAGAGTCATGGTGTTCCAGAAGAAGGCCAGGTCTCAGGGAAGCAGATACCAGTTCACTTACGGAGCAGAAGTCCTAGAGCACGGCACCTGCTACACTTACCTGGGTATTGAGATCTCAGCATCAGGGGGCTTCAGTCTGGCTGTGAAGGCCTTGAATGAGAGCGCACCGAGATATCCGAGGATCCACCGAGGATACATAGAGAAGCGACTATGCAAACACTGTGACCTGAATCAAATAGACTAGAGGATGAGAAACACTTTCTTCTTGTCTGCCCCCAAATACACCACTACAAGGCAAATATTCTTTCCACAATTAATTTTTTTCTCTGGATGACTCTATATACTTGGAGAGGATGAGATCGCAGACAAACTAGCTGCAAACTATGTATACACCTTACACACCATACGAAATGGTTAATTCATTAGCCTTTTTTGACATTCTTCATTGTATATAATTGTAATTATTATTATTAATATTAGAAATACTGTCTACTGTTGTTATTTTTAGTTCATTGTATTTATTCATTTATTTTCTCTTATTTATTACTCATTTTCTGTCTCCTTTTTTACTTTGATGGTATAATCATATACTGTATTGTACACATCTAGAATGCTTTCGCAATACTGTAACTTTGGCAATATGTCATGCCAATAAAGCACCTTGAACTCTGGAACACACACACACACACACACACAGAGAGAGAGAGAAGGCCTTGTTTTGGCAACACTAGAAGTGAGTGATCATAACAAATGTGCTGCCACAAGCAGGGAGGATGCAACAGGAAACCACACTTTTTCTGGCTTACAGTCTATTTCAGAACACCACTTGTCTTGCAAAGATGAGAAGATTATTATTAATATTAGAAATACTGTCTACTGTTGTTATTTTTAGTTCATTGTATTTATTCATTTATTTTCTCTTATTTATTACTCATTTTCTGTCTCCTTTTTTACTTTGATGGTATAATCATATACTGTATTGTACACATCTAGAATGCTTTCGCAATACTGTAACTTTGGCAATATGTCATGCCAATAAAGCACCACACACACACACACACACACACACACACACACACAGAGAGAGAAGGCCTTGTTTTGGCAACACTAGAAGTGTGATCATAACAAATGTGCTGCCACAAGCAGGGAGGATGCAACAGGAAACCACACTTTTTCTGGCTTACAGTCTATTTCAGAACACCACTTGTCTTGCAAAGATGAGAAGAAACCATCAAGACATCAATCATTGTTCCATCACGGTATTGATAATAATTGTGATATTTATACTGTAGCACTTGTAAAATGAATGCAAGCTAGATCAACTTTTCCTTAAAGATGCAAATTAATACACTAATAGAAAAGAAACTCTAATTCAGGTTTACTGTGGATTTTAAGTAGAATAGTAAAAGTGATTGTGCACACTACCATTCAAAAGTTTGAGGTCAGTAAGACTTTTTTATATGATGTTTTTCAAAAAAGTCTTATACCAAGGCTGAATTTATTTGATCAAAATATAGTAAAAACATTAATACTGTGAAATATTACAATTTAAAATAAATGTTTTCTATGTGACTATATTTAAAAATGTAATTTATTCAGCATCATTACTTCAATCTTCAGTGTCACATGATCCTTCAGAAATCCTTCTCATATGATGATTTGATGCTCAACAAACATTTATCATTATGTTGAAAACAGTTGTGCAGCTTAATAGCGATATATATGTGAAAATTGTGATAAAATTGTCTTTGATGAATATAAAGTTTAAAAAAAATCTGCATCTATTTGAAACAATGCAAAGCTTACCGACCTCAAACTTCTGAATGTTAGCGTGCTTTACAAGAAAAAATAACATGTCAAAATGTAAATGTAGATTTAATTTCCAATATAATATAATAATCTTTTCAGTTGTTTTTATGCATTTTATTTTTGTTAGTTACTTCTAGTCCAACAGTTCTAAACAGTCGTATAATTTACTAAATGTCTCCCTCTTCTGGTATTAAAAGGCATCAACCATGTCTGTTATAAGATCAGGAATGATACACAACCCTAGAGAACTCAAAATGTTTCAGCCATATGATAAACATTTTAATTAAAAATTAGTCAATCAGTATTCCCTCTAACACACACAATGGCTCTACGTGAAAGTGTAAGACATTAGAATTCATGAAAACCTGCGTTCTATAAAAAACAAACACACTGGAGCATTAATGTCATCACTCATCATTCTCTAACATTATTTTATTTTGCATTATCAGATCATATAATGAGGGAGAGAAAGAAAGCTACATGGACCTGCATGTACAGGCCGAGAGACAGAGACCGCATTAAAACATCCATTTCAATCTGAACAAAAAGCCAAAACACATGGAAATGAATTTTCAGAAAGACGAGCATTGGTTCACATTCACACTCATGTCTGAATAAGAGCATCAGTGGAGTTTCACAGCACTAGAAAAACCAAACATCAAGCACTGACGCACCCATGATCAAGTTCACTATATTGTACAAGTCATTTTATAGCATCAACAATACATATGTGCTTTAGATTATAAAGGTTTGGACATTTAACCAAAACATAAAAGGAAATAAATCTTGTGCGTGTACATCTGTACTTCCTGTTTCACTTTATTCTTTAGTTTTTATAGTGTTCCTCAGTTT